CGTCAAAGTTCGTAAAAAATTTTGAGATTCGTCGGGTCTCCTTTTCTATCCGTGTAATTCCATGAAAGATCAGTAGGATCGTTTTCTCAAGTACCGATTTGGAAAGTAGAGATTTTAAGCTGTAAAATGCTTTTTTGAACATCTCGATACGATCATTTTTGACGAAGTTGCTCTATCTTAAAGTTTGCCTATTTTTAAAGGATAGAACAGGTGATCCTTTAATTTTTTGGACCAGTGTATATTAAATTGTATTTATTATGAGAATTAAATTGTTTAAAATACTTTATTAAAGTTTTAAACACATGATAAACAATCTCAGAAATCTTTTAACAGAGGTATTTAATTAATATGTTAATAATTTTATTATATATATACAATAGAAATAAAAATAAACAAAGAAGAGCTACTGAGCTAGCTAGTTGATTTCACTAATGATATTAAGGTATTTGTCACAATGGTAATAAATTCTTTATATAATCAAGTTAATAAAATAAATTAAAACATACGTTTCGACTTTACGAGTATGGTTGTCTTTCTCGTGTAAAAAGTTTTGTTAAACGCATACATCTATACAGTTAGCGGTGTCTTTTACACAACTCCTACAAATTTGGCTTTTAATATTTCCATTTCACAGACAATTAATCGCAATCTTCGCATAATTCCAGTCTTCTACATAGTACAAAATTTGTCATCCTTTCCTTGTTGCTTCGAATTTGTAATTCGCCATGTCGTTCATTTATTTCGAGATAAATTTCTAGGATAACATATATACCTGTATGTATAACATATATAAGGACAATAAAAAACCAACCTTAGATCGTCTCAACAATGAGAAAAGGCATTAAATTAAATTTAAAATAGTAAAAAATAAATAATAAATAAACAATTTAAATACGTATAACAAATCAAAATAAGTTGAAACCTCCGATCGTTACAGTTAATGCTGTAAAGTTACGGTAATTCCGATAACTAAAAATTAGAAAAATAAAATTATTGTATTTTTAATAGTCAAAAATAAAAACCAAATTACTTACTCGTTGATAGAACGATTCTGAAGTTAATTAATAAAAATGAACAATTATACCAATGGAAAATTATTAGTTTCAAAATCTTATCGCTGATGGAAGATGTTGTAATGAGGAGACAAGGAGGAAAGACACTAAGGAGAGGTAATAAGAAAGAATTAGTCGAGGTATAGGAACAAAGTGGTGATCACTAATTCAAAAAGAGGAAATTAAGGATAGGAAGAATTCGAAAGAAATTCTGTGTCGCTCTATTCAATCCATTGTATTACTTGTTTTATATGTATCATCTCAGAGATGTTTCTTTTTATCAACGACAATTAACTGATCTTTGTCCAATATCTGGACTCATATATGCTCACATTAATATCATTAACACAAACAATTAGCTGACTCAGTAGCTCTTCTTTATTTATTTTTATTTGTATTCGAATTTGTATGAGCTTTTATTTTTTTGTTCTATTTAAATTTTTATTATATATAAACATATATATATATATATATATATATATATATATATATAAGGGAAAGTTGCCGAATGTGTACCAGTCTCATAAAGCGTACCTCTTCAATATTTTATAGTTCCACTTAATAGAAGCAACATATAGTTACAAAAATATGAAGTAAATAAGAAATGTGTGAGATAGACAAAAAATGAACAGGTTACATCTTGTTCTGTCTCTTATACACATC